GTGTGCGCCCCGCCCCGCCCCGCCCCGCCACACCCGCCGCGCCGCGCCCCGCCCTGTCCCAGGGGTGGCGGCGGTGGTGGAGGGGAGCGAGCGACTGATAGCCCGCGCCTGCCTCTCCCACGCACTCATTGATGTGCACGGACGCGCCATACACATTTTGTCTCCGGGGAGAGGGCTGCAGCCGGCCGGCAGCGTGGGGTGGGGGGTGATGAGCGTGCAGGGAGGGGAGGGAGGGGAGTGGCTGACGTCACCAACCCCTAATGTAGCGCGGCGGACACCTCGCCGCCACCGCGCTGGTGGTGGTCACCCCCAGCAGGTCCTTGAGCGGCTCCCCTAGAGCGCCCTCCCCCTCCTTCCTTGGCACGACCCGACAAGAAGGAACGAACGACCATGTTCTTGATTAGATAAAGGTCTGTGGAGTAGGTAGGTGCGCCGCCACAACTATACTACTGTGCCGCGTGAAACAGTTTGGCGACGAGAAAAAAAAACACCCTTCTTTGTGTTTAACGTAGCAACGTGTTTTCATTTATTAGAAAAGAAAAGGGAGCGTCCCTCTCTAGACAAGTATATGTATTTATTTAAAATATACGTAACTTGCTAAGTTAATTAATTATCAGAGCAGCTCGGTGTTCTTCCTATAACCAAACGATAGTTAATTTCTTGACAATCTGCCGAAAGTTCGATGCGAGGTAGAAACTATCATTAGTTTTCTGCGCCATTATTTAGTCGTCGGTACAACGTACAACGAAGCTCGTCGTTGCAGGAGACTAATTATGAATTAAATACCACATGCCGCAAATAATCGATTGTAACGAAATTATCTATAGTTTTTAGTTCTCAAGAATCATTTGTTTTGCCGTGATTTAGCCAAACACATATCAACCGATAGGACTGCGCTCGTCGTTCAACAGTTAAGGTAGTAAAAAATATTAAATGCCTACACCGTCTTTACACCAGGTGTCTGTCTCATTATCCTTTTCAATAATTAGAAAGTAATTTTTTTTGTAATTAAAATATTAATTGATTTGTAAAGCATTCAATCTGTTCTTTTTTCTAGCATGTTTGCTTCTCTTGAAGCTTATGCAAGATATGTATTTCTTTAAGCTTTATGAGCGGAGGCTGTACTGAAGGTGTTACGTGCATCTGGTTGACTTGCGGAAAATACACAAGAAAATTTGTTTTTCATTAATTCCTGAACTAGTTTCTTTTTATCATGTTTTTATTATTAAAACGGCAGTCACTGAATGCTTTACAAAGTTGCTACTTATCAGATAAAAAGATTATCTCAATCAAGATGTTGCAGTTGTACAAAGAATGTGCTTTACGCATCAATCGACTTGTTCTCAAGAAATACGTATCTCTCACGAAATCGTCTCTGATTATCACAATGAGGTCACCGTAGCGTCGTAGGTAACTAGGATGCGGTTTATCGCGAGAAAAACGTTTTCCTTGGGTCTAAAACTGTTAACACTATTGAATCGTAATTCTAGACCATCTTATAGACTACGACGTTTACACAAAACTCACTTATGTTGCGACGTAAAACATTGTTATATTTAAATAAAAACTTACACAATTCCTTTTTACAAATTCCATTACAACCAACACGTCATTGTCAGTACGCCGCGTCAGCGGTTCCGGTAGTTGTTTGTCGGCCCCCGGTGGCCGTGCGGGCCACTCGTGCGGTGGGGGCTGGCTTAGTTAGGGGCGGCTGACGTTGAAGTTAACCTCTCTCGGTGGTCGCTCACAGTCCCTCAGTCACTCCAGCGGTCACTCCACTTGGCTCCTGCAGTCACTCCAGCCCACTAGGGCATTCGTCCAACTTCCGCCGGTCCGGTCGCGCAGGGCTGGCATCATGAAGCGAGCAGCGCGGCCGCCACGAGCAGCACCAGCAGGGCCCCGGAGCCGTGCCGCCCCGCAGCGTCACCCCGCACTGCAACAGAAAGCAAACGCACCCTCAGCACGAAGCAAAAAAAGAAATAAACAAACTCTCTTCAGACGCCTTTAGATCTTCTTCTATATACCCAGCACCCCCCGTACCGCTGCACACCCCACACAAACACCGCCGTCGATTCAAACTCATAGCTTGAGCTATTGGCGCCGAATTTTTAAAAGAGGAAGAAAATCGGGGAAAAAAGTCTTTAACGTCGCCCTTTTTTCCCCCTTGAATTCTCGGAAAGACTTCGCCCTCCCCTCGCCACAATCCTACGCCATCAAATTTATATTGGTCGATCACCAATTTTTTTCGCTTTCTCTCTCTCTCTCTCTCTCGCCGGTCTCCCGCTTCCCCGCACCTAGCGCCCCTTACTCCTTGCCGCATGCCGGCGTTTGGCCCTTCCGCCGTCGCAGTTTAGGGCCGCGAGAAAAAAAAAAGAAAAAGGGAAAAAATAAAAAACTTTGAGGGATGGAAGGGAGACGGAAGGAGTGCGAGAACAGTGAGGGATGAAGGGAGTCGGAGTGAGCGCGGGAGGGCAGACAAGTAGGAAACGGCATAACTGGAATATGGAAATCCGTAGCCAGCCAGCGCAGCACGCCACGCGCCGCCACCGGCCCACGGCACGGGACGGGCCTAACTGGCATTCCTTCCGCCGGCCCGGGTCCTTTGGACTTGCAGCAGGGCGGGGCCTCCTCGTCCGCCGGCGCCCTGCCCCCGCCCTGCCCCCGCCCTGCCCCCGCCCTGCCCCCGCCCTGCCCCCGCCCTGCCCCCGCCCTGCCCCCGCCCCGCCGCGGCGCGCCTTGCCGGGCCGCTTCTCTTGGACTTCCAAATCGAACGCGCGCGCGCCTTTCACCGGAGGGTTTATTCGATTTTTGTAGAATTACACTCACCCTCCTCTCGCTCTCGTTCGAGATGCGCCTCTCTCCTCGTTGCTCTCCACCATCCCTCTCTTTTCCAAATCCTCCCCTCTCCCTCCCTCTCCACCAATGCCCCCCCCCACCCCCCGGTCCAGGACTGCCGGACGCGACACAGAAAAGTCCTATCCGGCTTGTTGAATAGGTTGGAGGGGTTGGAGAGAGGGGGAGGGTCCTCTCTCCGTGCCGCTGGCAAACCAGCAGTGTGTGAACCACGGCGCTAGACTCAATGATTGAAAACACGGTCCGCGGGACACAGCAGCACAGCACCACCCTCAACACTACAGTCGCAACAAAAACCTCGACAAAAACCATGTTTGGTTCCTCATGCACCCGAGGTGAAATCACGGTATAGTTAAGTGGTGGGTATAATTAATATTTTAAAATGGTGCATAGGTCCTAGTATGAACGTTATGCACACAATGTCTCGCTTGTAGTATGAATACCCTGCTCTTCACCATGCCCACTACAGTGCACTTTTGTTACGTAGGGCCCCGTGCGTTAACATTGTGCACGGGGTAGCTGAGCGAAGTGCATTAAATTTATAGAAGACACAAACAATATAGAATAAAACTATGC